ACCACAAAAAAAAAAAAAAAAATTCAGACTTTAAAAACATTGATGAATTTGTAATATCTTTTATAATATTTCCCCAGTTAGCACAAATAATATCATGAAGGATATGCAAATCTTTTAATATTAATGTGGAACCTTTGTATTCAGATTGGGAGTTGCTTGTCTGAGGCATTGTCTTTTTTCTGCATTTAACTGAGCCCTGTCTATAGACCTAAAAAGTATTTTTACATGAATACTGATTTAGGCTAGGGGTATAAAATTAAGACACTTAAAGAAATATGTAATATAGCTGGACATAATTATATAATATACTGAATTCATGGTAGACGTGTTAAAATGAAATCGTTTTATAAATATCAAAATAACTTCATCAGGGGGCAAAAAAGCCATTTACATTTAGTCCAGTTGATCAAGGCTTGGACTTCCTTTTATAGGTGTGATATTGGGAAAATCTGTTGAACTCAGAAAAGCTCCTGTTTTGCAGCCAAAATCTAGAGTGGTGTTTATGTTCCTAAAAATTGTGCTCTTAACCCTTTGTCTATCATGCTTGATGGAATTAGAGACTTGAGAGGAAAATTGTTCTTCGGGGAGGTTTTCAGTAGCAGAAGATGGTTGGGAGGTTTAGCCCTGTTTAATAATTGGTCCAATCAGAAATGCATAACACGGCATACAAAGGCCAAAAATTTAATCTGGTAAAAATGTGGGACTGTGTGGTATGTAATGAGATTAATGAAATAACAGATACCCAGCCACACTATCAAAATCATCTCTGTCTGGCTGTGGTTTGGTGTTATCTGGTGGTAATTTTCTACTGCCAGTTAAATGACCTGTGACTGGATTGAACTTCCAGGACAGTGGCAGCGATTTCAAGAATCTCCCTTATTTGACATCCAGTTTCTTGGCTTGAGCTGAGGAGATTTGGGGTCTGAGAAGTCGGACTAGGGACTTGAGAACAGTTCTTTACCTCCCTCTTTCCCAAGACTGGATTGCTTGCTGTTTCTTGGCAGGGGCTGGGCCTCTCCATCTCCTCATCACTCCATCCTGTCCCAGGAGAAAGTGATAAGTTTAACTTCTTACACCAGGTAGAAGATAGGAGTCAGCTGTCTTAATATTTGTTATGCTGGTATATATTGTTTCTGGGCTTTATTGCATTTGGAGTACCAACTCTCCTAGAGCTTAAAAACAGTCTCCCCATGTGCCAGGGATACTGGCTATTTGTCTCTTCTGACTCTTGATCACAACAATAGGTACAGTTTTTAGCTCACTCAAGTCATGGGATTGAAGAAGTTCATGTAAGGCTCTTGAACCAGATTCTGAAAAATTATTATAATTAAATGGCACATAATTCTGGACTTGAATATCATTGAAGGATGTGCTAATAATGCTTATCTTAACATTCTTCTCCATTCTTAGACTGAGGTTTTTGAAATTAATTCATTTCTACATAAATGCAAAAATGAAATTGAACCAAAATTATTAGTACTTGGCTTAGATTTACTTGTATTATATACTTCTTACTAGTTTGCTTGAATCAAATCTGTTTTTCAAGTACCATTTATTTATGGAGGAGACATCTTTCAAAAGATTCCCACAACAAAAGTATTCTAGTTTCTGTAGATCATTCGGTTAGAAATGATTCCCCTTCTGAGGAGTATTTATCACCTGCTGCAAAGGGAGAGCAAGCTACTAGGTCTAAAACAAATCATCACACAGAAGCATTTTCTTTCTCTGTCTTACATATTTATTTAGGCAAGTTGCTCAATTTCTGAAGGGCACTTCCCTGCCCAAAACTCTCCAGTGATTTCTTTTATACTTAGAATAAAATCTGAACTTTTATCGTGACCTAGAAGACTCTATATCCTCTGTCCCCTGCCTGCTTTCTGACCCTCTCATGAACTTTCCATTCTCCCATGAATCATAGTTATACATGTCTTCTTTCTGTTCTTTTTATATATCACCATCCCTCCTGCCTCCTTTATGGTTGCTGAGTCCTCAGCATGAAAAGCTCTTCCCTCAAATTTTCAGCTCTTGGCTCAAAAGCTATCTTCTTAGTAAAGGCCCTTTCTTTACCAAGCACCTAATGTAGTCCCCCGATGTACTTTTTTTGGACCTAACAGTTTACACTTCATTACTCTGTTGTATAGACTTGTATGTTGCATTAATTAGCTGAATTTGGCTTTGTTGTTGGTGGGCTACTCCTGGACTCTGCAACTAAGACAGACTTTTTTTCAGTTCTCTCTGTCCCATCGTCGTCATGAAGATGAAATGAGTTAATATACGAAAGCACTTAAAACAATGCTGTGGGGCTTTCCCTGATGGCGCAGTGGTTGAGAGTCCGCCTGCCGATGCAGGCAGGGGACGCTGGTTCATGCCCCGGTCTGGGAAGATCCCACATGCCGCGGAGCGGCTGGGCCCGTGAGCCATGGCCGCTGAGCCTGCGCGTCCGGAGCCTGTGCTCCGCAACGGGAGAGGCCACACAGTGGGAGGCCCGCGTGGAGCAAAAAAAAAAAAAAACAATGCTGTGGACATAGTAACAGCATATGTTACCTGCTATTGTTAATATTATTATAATCATCATTATTATTTTGTTAGTGATTTTGTCTGTCTTCTTCATTTCTGTATCCTCAGTGTCAAAAATAATGCTTAGCATAAAAGGTACTCACTTAACATTTGTCCAGTGAATCAAAATGACTCTTTTCCTTCCTTCTTCCCTCCCTTCCTCCCTTCCTTCCGGCATCCCATTGGAGGTTAGGGCCTCAACATATAAATTTGGGGTGGAGGGTGGACACAAACATTCATTTGATAATGGATGATTAACTCAACAAACTTATTTTTTCCCTGAAGGATAAGTAGGAAGAAAAATATGGTTAAAATGCTGAAGCCGTAACGTGACAACACATTGGTGCTCTGTCCTTAATATGATAGCTTGATTATGTAAGCTTGAACCGAAATTTTTTCTTCCATGTTATAGACACCAAATTGGAATAGACATGTGATTAGACTGTAATGTGTTTTAAAAGATAGTATTATGAACTATTTTATTTAAGTTTTGTGAACAAATCACCAAAGGGTATTGCAGGCATTCCT